GGGAGAAATAACCGTGCACACTATGAAGTTCACATTCTGCATACACACATACACAAACCTATTAGCTTCCTCCCCCTTGGAATTAATTGGGTTTCTTCACGCCTAAAATTAATTCCATCTTATATAATGTCCTAATTTAGGAGCTGTGGCAGTTGAATAAATAAAGGTGATGAACGCCAGTCAGAAGAGATGTCCTCTTGTCCTTCTCTTAGTGGAACATGACAGGCTTGGACTTCTCGAATCAGATTTACCTTCCAAAGTGTGTGTGTGTGTGTGTGTGTGTGTGTGTGTGTGTGTGTGGTTTAGCTCGTCATCCATCACCCCTCTTCCACATCTTCAGCTCATTCAGGAAGTACAGCTACAGAGCGCCTCAGGGATTATTTTTCTGAGCTGAAATCAGTTGTCTTTTATGTTCAGAGATTACCGTCAGCTGTGTTTTATTGCTCTGCAGCCCTGTCTGATCCAGTGATCTCTAATGTCTCGGTTGTTTAGACACTTTTATGTATTGACAGAGTACGTGTTTTAATGACTAAGTGGTAAAAGCTGACCGGTCTCAGCTGAACGCTTCCCAAGTACGTTACATAAAAAGAAACTTAGCTGTTTTCTGTCACTTTGTGCCATAAAATAGGAATAAGTAAACTTGCAGATTCCTTCCTCCAGTTGTTTCCCAATAAGTGTTAAAGCAACAGCAGAGACTGAAGGCCATGCAGAGCTCACAGACTTGTTGCAGCTTGTTTATTTCCTATGTAGATGGATTACCACCTATAGAGCTCTGGCTGCTAGAGCCTCGCCTGAGGACACACACATTGTTATTCCTGTCATGTCTTTAAGCTGCGCTTTAACACTGAGGTTAGGAAACAAATACACACATCAGAGCACAACTTCCCTTCACCACAGCTGCTTTTTAATGACGGGAATTAATGAAAAGCATTTATTTACATGTTCTATCATGTAGACACAGATGATTGACAAGATAATTTCTGCAGTGTTTTTCTACCGTGGGTGGCTTTACTGTATGTGATGGTCATAATTAAGTGCTTTTATCATTATATTTATATAGAAGGAAGAAGGAAAGAAAACATTTTTTTAATATAATGTCTGTCAAGATAAAACTCACGAGGCACTTCACAAAAACAAAAAATTTAAAATAGATAAAAGATTTTTTTTTATTATTTAAAAATATGTTTGAAATGAGAAAATAAATCTTGAAAAAACAATGGAAGGAAAGGGAGAGAGAAAATGAACAGGAACAGTAGATCCCAGAAAAGGCGGATTAGTAGAAAGAGCAGAATAAGGAGCGGGTGGTGATGAAGGTCACACCAAAGCCTGAACAAGTGAGTCTTCAGCTGCTTTAAAGGAGACCACTGAGTCCACTGATCTCAGGCTCAGGGGGAGAGAGTTCCAGAGTCTGGGGGCCACAGCAGCAGATGATTTGTCACCTTTGGTCTTTAGCCTGGTGCTGCACAACCAGTAGGCTTTGGTCACTGGACCTTAGGGACCTGCTGGGGGTGTAGGGACTGAGAAGATCACCAATATATGATGGTGCTTGTCCATGTAAGGCCCTATAGACCAGAACCAGGATCTAGGAATGAACCCTGAAGTTGACTGGCAGCCAGTGAAGCTGGAGGAGAAGCGGGGTGATGTGGGTGTGTTTGGAGGACTTGGTCAGAAGCCGAGCACAGGCATTCTGAACCACCTGTAGACGGTTCAGGGAGGCACGTGAAAAGAGAGTTACAGTAGTCTAAGCGTGAGGAGATGAAGGTGTGGAGAACTGTCTCAAGTTCAGAGCGGGACAGAATGGGACTCAGCTTAGCAACGTTCCTGAGATGGAAGAAGGAAGAGCGAACAAGAGAACTGACATGAGAATCCAGGGTGAGAGCTGTGTCAAAGGCCACACCAAGACAGAGAGTTCCCTGACAGGGTTTGGTGTGAGAAGCAAGCTGACCAAGAGAGTCTCTGACTTTGGGAACCAGCTTGTCTGGGGCACAGATGAGGATCTCAGTCTTATCTTCATTCAGCTGTAGAAAGCTCCCAGCCATCCGGGTTTTAATAGAGTCTAAAGCCTAATTTATACTTCTCCGTCTGCTTCGGGATGGAGACACGCAACGCCACTAGCCGTCCTTGTTGAACCTGGAGAGCCCTCGGAAGGACGGACAGAGTCGAGCTCTCTTTTCTAAACATCCACAAGCTTGTGATTGGTTAGGACGCCAATGTTGTCCACAGAGCCGCCATTGCGCCCTCAAAAATATAAAGAGAGCTGAGGATATCTAGCAGCAGACACGGAGCATCTTGAAGAATACCTCGCGGAAAAACTTAAAAAAATGAACGTTTTATTCACCCGTGACTGGAGGAGTGAAAGAATATGCAGCAAGTGTTTTATTTGTGGACGGAAATTATGAAAACGGGGGGTTGAGTGCATGAAGAGGAGGAGGAGGATGAGGGACAATTCTATCCGTGTTACAAAGTCTCTTAAATACAAAAAACACAACATAGATATAATATTAAATGCACTAACTTGGACCGGCTACATGACGCCCTCTGTTGTCCTGGCTAGGAATTGCTATTCAACACTCCCAGGAGACGGAGAAGTCCGAATGCAAAACGTCTCCATGCGTGTCTCTCCCTCATGGAACTGACGGAGACGTATAAATTAGGCTTAAGCAGGTGTGTAACAGCTGCAGCTTAGACATCTCATGGGGCTTACAGGAGATGTACTGGAGATATAAGCTTTAATAAAACATGCAGCTAGCTGAATATTGAAAGTCATTTGTGTGTTTTGAATCCTTCAACATTTAAGGAGTTTGGGGTAATTTTAAAGTTGTTAGGAATAACAGACCTGTAGAAGATGACTTCCTTCAGCTTCTGCTCGTTTCACATCACATAAACACGGGCAGTCATATTAGCTTCAGGTTACATTTTTGTGTTTTAGCCTCTGAGTTGGACCGGGACATGCACTGAGCTCTGGTTGGTTCTGAAGCTCAAGCCTTTCTGAACTTTGACAGTACATAAATATGCCTTTGCTTTATTAGATATTTATTCAATATTGGACCCGATGGCCCAAGCTCATGGCCCAGATACAGCCCAGGGACCATCAGTTAATGATCACTCCTGTACACTTGCACTGGGAAACACAACATGCTCCTCCTAAAACATCAGCTCTAGTGAAAAGGTCCGCATGCACACACACACACACACACACATACACACACACTTATTGTGTCTGAAGGTTGTGTTTTTGTATTTTCTGGTTAATATAAAACAAAAACTACGATTTTCAACATGTTTCATTCTAAAATAGTTCAGTTCCCTCTCTTGTGGACTCAGGATTTTTCTGATCTGTGCTGCTTCTGTGGTTAAACGGACATTTGTTTGTGTTGTCTAGAGAATCATAGCGGATCAGAGTTAATCTTTTATAAAAGTTTCAGTCGTTTTGCTGAATCTTTTTTTATTCATGTTATTTTTTCCCCAAAAGCTAAAATAAATTCTGATCAGACTGAGACAGAAGAAAGTGTTATTTGTCCCAGAAGCAGAACAAGTGTACTGTACAGCAGCTTTTCTCGCTGTCTTTTGTGATGCTGTTGCCATAGCAACTGAATCATTCTTATGAAGCCCAACTGTTGGATCACCTCTAGAGGGCATCGTTCTTTGACAGAGGAGCAGTCTGCTGCCTGTCAGTGGAAGTTACCCCTTTCACAGGAGATATTCCTGTTCCTTACGACAGTCACATGACCACAGAGAACATTTTATTCCTTACTTTTGTCGGCACTGCTGCCCGATCCAACCTGCTCTTTTCACAGCATGCCTGCTGCTTTGTCCCTCTGGCTGATGCGGTAAAGTATTGCCATTGGTTGCTTTAAATGCAAGAGGAAACATTTTGTCTGTATCTGATGAAAATTTGATGATACAACAAAATGATTTTAAATGATATTTGAATAAAGATACTGTAGTAGATACAGTGTCCTCCTGCCCTGTAGGTTGCCAGGTGAGCATCTGGAACTCTCCTGTTTAAGAAATGGCAGCAAGACTAACAAACGGGGTGGACTCCAACATGTATCGGTAAAGTTTTAAAAAACTACTTTAAGTGATCAGTTGGTATTCAGAGTACTGTTGGAGGATGCCTGTTAGGTACTACCACACCAGACTTTAACTACTGAGTTAACAGTAAAAGTCTCTGTAAAAGTGGCAGAGTTCTAGCCAGCTTCATTCTGGCTAAAGTGCGGTTGCCTTTTAGTTGTGTCTTGTTTTAGTATTCAGACTTTTTAGATCCTGTAAACTGTTAGACTAAAGATCCAGATGTTTTTTTTACATGAATCCCTGTTGGGTAAAAGAGCATGTGTGACGGGTCTGGTCTGATAAGCAGGTGATGCTCGGCTCACCTGTCAGTCGCCGGTGACGCTACATCGAAGCAGCCATGACAGCAGGTGTTCTCCATGCAGCACAGTGTGTGTCACAGCTATCAGTCCCCAGACAGAGCTGTCCACGACGTCCAGCCTGGTTAGACAGACACAGAACCAAGGGAACAGACATTTACACACACGCACACACACACACACACACACACACACACACACACACACACACGCGCACACGCACACGCACACGCACACGCACACACACACACACACACACACACACACACACACTGATGTAAATAACAGCACGTCAAGGTTACTTAGAGCTGATGTCAATTGAATAGCAGACTGGAAGGATTCAGAATCTATTGGAGACGAGCTGCTTTCAGTCCCTCTCTCCATCCCACCCGTCTCTGTTTGACGGTTTCCTAGAATCTGTCTTGCTGTCTTCCTCTATTATGTCTCACCTGCAGTGGTTTTGTGTGTTTATGGGAACTGCTTGTATTTTTGAACCATTTTACTCTGTGTGTCAGAACAACGAGGTCTCGTTTTTTCCATCGTTGTATCCTCCATCAGTGGCTCATAGTGAGATTAATTTGTGTATGTGTTTTCTTCTTTCCTGTGTGTGTGTGTGTGTGTGTGCTGCAGGTGGCTGAGATGCACGGTGAATTGATAGAGTTTAACGAGCGCCTGTACCGTTCCCTCATGGCCAAAGACCATCTCATTGTCCAGATGAGACAGGAACTCATTGACCTCCGGGGTCCGGTGAGTGAGTTGGCACGCGCGCGCGCACACACACACACACACACACACACACCTATCCGAAGTTGCAGCATGTTTGGTTGCGTTTGCACTGGATTAGAATCGTGTGTTTTGTTGATTTTATTGTCAGCTGCAAGTTCCTTAGATAAAATCCTTTATTAAATTATTTAAACAATTCAATTCAATTCAATTCAATAATACTTTATCAATCCCAGAGGAAAATTAGCATGGAATAGATTTTAACAAACATAAAGCTTTATGCCACAGACAACATTTGTTATTTTCAAGCATTTCTGGGGGTGCAGAAAAATAAATGTGGTGTAGATGCCATTTCCTGCATTCTACTGCATTTACACAGGTTGTTAAACACCTATTTTACCTACAGCAGTAAAACCTTAACCCAGTAACTATTTATTCATCACAAACCTCCAGATGATTACTGCGGAAAATACTAAAACATAAAAAAATAGAAGCTTTCAATAAAATGTTGTGTTTATTTTATTCATGTTGATAACAAGAATACCAGCAGGTGGCGATGGACTGAATTTGAATGTAATGACCCATTTTAACATTTCATAACAACCACACCTCTTTGTTGTATCCCTATTTTACAAAGTAACATTTAAATTTATCCCAGTCTCAACAGTATTATTACTAGCCAAATAGAAAATATAGATGTTAACAGGTATTTTTTTGTATTTCAATCAGTCAACATTGTTTATTTGGTTATTTTAAAGATAATTAAAGAAAAGGGAAAAAAAACACAATAATACAAGGATTACAAGTAGAATAACCAAAGGTGTAGGCTGAAGCCTAGGTTTTTATGGCTACCCTATTTACAAAATCAATTTTTATACTTAGCATGATAGGAAAACATGATTATAAATTTTTTTAATAATAATAATCATAATAATGAACAACAAAAATAAATATGCAAAAAAAATTAACATTTTTTTATATATACATAAAATAATAAACCCTCCAGTAATCTTAGCATGAGTCAATGAATAATATTCACATAAACAGATGGTTTCTATGAATTTAAATACTTTCAAGTGTGTATAAAACATTTTGATTCACATCTCTGAAAATACACTGGATCACACACACTAATTAGACATCATCTTTTTGATGTACCTTTTTTTTTAAAGATTTAACTGTGATGCTGCCCTGATTTTGATGTCTAAGTTATTCCATCGTTTCACTCCTTCTACTGAACAACTCTGACTCCTAACATTTGTTCTAACTTTCTGTTTTACAAATTGTCCTTCCCCTCTTTTGTTAGTAGTAGATGTTTTATGTAAGGATTTCCAACAACTGCACTGATCTGAGACAAACCCAAACCCCTAAAAAACCTAAACAACATTAATTAGGCGGACTGAATATGTGTTCCAGATACCTATGAATATTTTCTCCCTAGTAGAGTTTTACATTCCAGATATCCATGAACACTTCAGATTTTGGACAAATGATGTCACATTCCCATTCATGTGTGTTGGGTTTGCAGCACAAGACTGAAGTTCTGCCTGTCTGAAATGAAAATAGTTTTAGTTTAAATGTAAGTTCAGATAATACAGTAACACTTCTGATAGCTGGATGTTTTTTCATTATATCTATTGAAAATAAGGTGTTTTAATAGTAATAATATTATATAATTATAGGTGTTTAAAGTGAGAGTTTCTCCATGTCAGAATTCGGTTTATCTTTTATTTATCTGGAACATTAATTTTCACTGAGAACAACAGATTGGATCTGAACCACAGAACCAGTCTGCCTAATAAATGCTTAAAGAGCCAGAGAGCCTAGCTGAGGACTAGCCTGCTAACGCCACAAAACCCTGGCCTGTGGGACTTTTTAACTTACTTTATGAATCTTGGTGAAAAATCTCCTGGTGTCCATGTCCGAGGAGGGATCAGACATGGAACCAGCTTCGACAAGCCAAATCTTTTTTTTTTTTACTTTATTGACACGCCGTCCATGTGTGTGCACCAGAGCAGAGCATCCAGGAAAATATGGAATGGATTTTAGCCATAGGGTTGGGCGATGGGACAAATGAATCAACCAACCGATGGATCGTGTTTTTACAGGAGGCCATTTGTTAATTTTTTTGTTTGTTTGCCAGTGAGTCAGTTTGTTATCGACAAATATTTGCCACGTTACTCACAGAGAACATCGTGGAGGTAACAATCAAGAAAAGATCTTAATCAGCGCATCTGGGCATTTACTCACCTTCTCAGCCTCCTACTGCTGACATACCATCGGCACGCTGAGGAGGGGCTTGGAGAGCGTCTGTGATGCACTCGACACTGTGCACAGTGTTGAATTGAAAGCATCGACATATATACTGGACATTTTGTGTCCATAGACTCCAATTATAAGTTTTTGTGCCAAAATGGGAGGTGGCCACTACCGCCAGTTTGACCGTGTCACAGGTTCCGTCAAGCCCAGACAATTCCAAAATATGGGAAAAGAGGTGGAGCTGAGGGTGTGGCTGTAAGGCTGGGCTCAAATGACGACACCTGTCCAGCTGAAGCAATGTAGCTACAAGCTAACTCAAAGCTAACGTGGAGGTGGGAGCTAAGCTAATGGAGGTAGCTACCTAGCTACAACCGGAGTTAACTGTGCACAACACAGAAGCTTCTGAGTCAGAGATGCGCCAAACATCCGCTGAGGGGACCATACCGGTAGTCGGAATCCAGCTCCACCAACATGCAGCGTTATGGTAAATGCATTGAGTTTTACCCTATTAAATTTCATGGTGAAACAGTACGTGTTAAAATCCAAGCTCAGCTAGTGCAGTGACCTAAAATACATGAATATAATTTTACTTACCGAAAAAAAATGAAGTGGAGACTTATTGGACGCTCTATTAGTGCAATTAATGCCACAGCAAGTCATTTTGTCCAACAATTGCACAAATAATATCCAAAAAGAATGCACAAACACTACAACTACTGGTCTAAGGTGAGAGCTTCTGCTGTGAAATTGGTATTTTTAACATGGGAGTCAGTGAGGATTAGCTCACTTCTGAGCAGCCCCTAGTGGATGAGGGTGGAACTGCGATTTCTGTCACTTCCGTGTTGGTTTCACTTTCATACCAGTAATATGGTGACTTGGTGGAAAGTGGAAACCCTTCTATTTTCAGAATCTGGGAGACTTCTGGTTATTTCATTTGCTCTGCAAAATCCAACATCCCAAGCTCTGCAGCATGGGAGGTCGGACCTTTTTCGCTGCTGCTCCGAAATTATGGAACACGCTCCCTGCTCATCTAAGGGCTCCACAAACTATCGATGCCTTTAAATAGGTTTTGTACGTTCTTGCTGTGTTTGTCTTCTAATTCCATTTTTGGTTCTTTTTTTAAACACAGATAAAGTTTCTCTTTACCTTGCTGACGGTTTTGTTTGCGGCTGAAAACATCTTCAGAGCTGACGCTGATGGTGGCGCCACCATCAGCGTCACTAAGTCAGAGGAGGAAGGAAAAATAGAAGAACCACTTCCTGATTGTTTTCTAGTGAATTATGTAGGCAGGTCATATCCACATGTAAACCTGCCTTTTGCTTCCTAAAAGAGTGGAACATCTGTTAGCTTCTGCTAGCCGAGACATGTTCTGCTCTTACCCGCCCATAAATTCAACACAGCCTTCCAAGGCGGCGACCTGATCTGGATGAGACCATGAAAGCAAATTTTACAGTGTGACATAGATCTGTGTGGGTTTTTCTGACACAACCGTTTTTCCATCTGTTCTTTTCTGCAGATAATGCAGGCCAAAGAGGACTTCCTGCAACACTCAGACCGATCATATTTTAAAAAGAACTGTACATTTTTAAATGAACAAGACCTGTAATGGGCTGTGGTTGTTGTTGGTACCTAAAAATGCACACACTCATATTATCTAACTAACTAGGTGCAATTACAAGCAAAATGTGACAGGAATCTAATGTTCCAGGCTTCCGCGAGGAAAGGAAAAGCCTTTTGTTTTACTGGCTACTTTACTTTTTACTTATTTAATAAATCTGAGTCCCTTTTCCTCTACTTGTGCTTTCTCACTCTGGATAGTTTTGATTCATTTTAGGGGAGAGAGCATACTCCCAGCTGACACACATGCTCCAGAAGCAGGCCAGTAGTCTCCTGGATTACATTCACTCTACAGAGTTGACCATCTATCAATTGAGTCTTGATCTTCAAAACTAAAATCCATAAAATCATGGTCAGTGTTGAACTCTGCCCACCTTCTAAGCCTTACTGCATGAAGGGCTCAGCTGAAGGAATGTGACCACTAGGGAAAGCACCAGATTACCAACCTAACTATGGCTGAATTTAAGGGTTAAATGCATATTTCATGAAATCGTTGTCTACTAAAAGATGCAGTTTGGACTACGGCATGAATATTTCTACAGACAAGCTGTAAATAAGTGTGCCCGTCTGAGACTCTGTCAATGCTACTCTTAGCAAATGATCGATTTCACAGATTTCTGCTCTCAGTCTTATTCTCTGTAGTGATGATTAAAGAATCCACACATCTGGCTCTTGCCTGATCATGCAATGGAGAACTTGAAGTAATCTGGACACACACACACACACACACGCACACACATGCACGCACACACACAAAGACACACACAAGCACACTGTGGCCCATAGTGAGACAGCTGCAGTGACGGAAGCCTCAGGCTGAAGATAGGAGCTCTTATCCCTCAGCTTCAGCTCTGTTTTGCTGGACCGTTCACTCTGTGTGTGTGTGTGTGTGTGTGTGTGTGTGTGTGTGTGTGTGTGTGTGTGTGTGTGTGTGTGTGTGTGTGTGTGTGTGTGTGTGTGTGTGTGTGTGTGTGTGTGTGTGTGTGTGTGTGTGTGTGTGTGTGTGTGTGTGTGTGTGTGTGTGTGTGTGTGTGCAGATGTGTGCATGTCCATCTGTGGCCCCTGTTTGCTGCAGGCTTTCGACTTCTAAGAGCTACTTGCAGCTGACCAAACCATGGTCACTTTCATGCCTCTGTATCTCACTTTCACTCCTTCTCATCTTGAGTTTGTGTCTGTCTGGTGGTCTTGGAGGGATTGATCAAAGCAGGGAAGCAGAGGATCTTGCAGTTCAAGCCAAAATGTTCTGAGAATGACAAAAACATTGTCACAGGGTTTAGTGTTTCAGTTTTCATTAATACCCACACATTTTCTTTTTTTCATTTGTTTATTGTGAGAAAGAAAAAAATACAAGCAATTACACTACCTGTTTCTTTCACATGTACATTTCTTCAGTTATAATAATAATAATGATAAGACAATGACTCAAAAACAATGTCTTCTCCGCCATAATGGAGCACATCTAAACATTGTCCCTCCAGGTAAATTCTCCAGACCTTAATTCCAATTAAAACCTTCAAGGGACGGGGACAAGCTAAATGCAACACATTCTAAACATCTCTGTACACAGATTACCCAAAAATTGGCTGCAGTCAGTCAGTATTTGGACCAGGAGTTTTGTAGTTCACTGCATGAACTACAAAAGTTTAGAAAAATAAGCTTGTGTGCATAAAAGCCCCATAGTCATCATCACACACTGGTGAAATTCATCTCCGCAATTAACTCGTCCCTGTGGGGAGCGGTGAGCTGCAGCTGTGGCTGTGCTCGAGAACATTTTGGTGGTTTACCCCCTGATCCAACTCTTAAAACTGAGTGAGGCATTGGGTACCATTTTTAAAGTCTTTGGTATGGCCCGACCCAGATTTGAACCTGATCTCCCAGTCCCAGGGCGGACAGTCTACCACTAGGCCACTGAGAAGTTAGTCCCAAGTCTTTGAAACGTATGAAATGCTTCTAATTCTAACTTCAGTTCATCAGCCTCTGACAAAAAAGATCTAAGAATATTGAAGTAGCAAACTTTGTGAAAACGGATACTTGGGTTGCTCTCTAAGCTAATCACACATCATGAGACATTCGCTCATCTAAAAGACCGACATTTGTCCTTGGTTACACAAGTGCTGAGGAACCCGGAAGTGAACAGACTGACAAACCTTTAATGCTGGCAGTAAAATGAAGAGCTGCCTCTGTTGTACTGTGATGCTGTAGATCAGGGATTCCCAAAGTGTGGTGCGCGCACCCCCGGGGGTGCGCGAGCTGCCGCTAGGGGGTGCGCGAGGTAAAAAGTGTAATGGCTGCGGAGCTCAGAGAAGTCTGTCATATGTCACCATTAGCGTAGAAACTCATTTGTGGGTGGGCCAAAGAAAAAGTAAGCGGGCACAGTAAATGTAATTGAAAACAAGTATATTTTTGCGCACGCGCGTGTCCTCCACATGATGTGCCCTAGCTTCATAATAACAATGCGCCGAGCTTCAGCACTCTGGCCTGCGCACGCCGATATGTTCCGCATTTGATCATTTTTAACGGTGTTGGAGAAATCTGAAGGTGGTGAGTCATTCTGGCAGATTGTAATTAACACCCTGTCTCATGCAGGTGTTCTGACATTGTAAACCTCACACACAGAACATTGTGGATGTAACTAAATAACAAGAAATGATTCCCATTCAGGCTATTAACAGCGCGCTGACGATCTGAAGTTCAGAGTGCGTCTGTCAGAGGTCAGACACGTTCCGGCTGAACCACGGCTCACGGGTGCACAAGTGAGCACATCTGGGCTGGGCAGAAGGAATTTTACAACATTGGTTTAAATAGCGCGAGACGCGGTGACTTGAGCGGCTGTGCCGCGTGCGCACACACACAGATTCAATAAGCGCACACGCTGCTTTAACTCCGGCCCGCTGTCAGACTGAAGGCAGAAATGAACGCTGCCTCCACCGTGATAAAAACTTTTAAGAGGTTATTTTTCATTCAAGGTCAAATTAAGATATTAGCTTCTGGGATGAGTCGGGTCCGCTCCAGCCAGTGACTCCGAACCTGACCACAAGTCCACTGCAGCATTCATTATTCCAGTCCGCGTGGCAGCGGATCGCAGATTCAGCCACACCATAAAACAGCAATAAGTCGGTCTGAGGTAAAAGTGAACATCATGGCTATATCTTGTCCCCTATTGACATTTGATTACGCACAAGTAGGTGATCAGCTCAGGTTTACGCAGAGCAGAGGGAAGGAGAGCGCTCTGGCCACACAGGTTAAACGTTCCTACTTTAAGAAAACCGTTAAATTGCATTCTTTATGTGCTACCTGGGCACTCTAAATATTTATTCAGAGTGAAATCAAAGGAAATTGTAATGGTATCGAATGCTTATTAATTACTATTTAGAAAATGAAAGTGATGGGGAATTTTTTTAACCCTTTCTGTTTAGCTTGACATCTGATATATATATACAGAGAGAGAGAGAGAGAGAGAGAGAGAGAGAGAGAGAGAGCCATGCCCCGATGTGTGTGTGTGTGTGTGGGGGGGGTGCGTCGACATGGTCGGGACATAGAAGGGGGTGCGCGGCTAAATAAGTTTGGGAACCACTGCTGTAGATAACTCATCAACCATAAATCATCTCATGCACAACACCACATGTCCATTGGGAGGCCTTACAGCTGTAAACTAAATATGAATTATGTTTTGGACTTGGAGTCCATACAATATCCTGAAATTCCACAGTTAAGTTAAATAAGTTTAAAGATCCCATCTTCAACTGCCGATTGTCACATGGCACATTGGTTAGTTTAAGCTTTTTAAGCTGCTTAAACAGCCATGATTCTGTGTAACAGGGGTGGGTGGTGTGTCACATGTTCCATTTAAATATGAGACTGGATTGATTCCATAGAAAATTTACTGCATGGATTATTTTATCAAATAAGAAAATCAGTTTATTTAATCCCAGGCTTTATTGCACCATCAGTAAAGTTGGCGAACAGGATACATTTAATCTATTATTTTATTCAATATGGATGAATGACTACTAAGATGCTTGAACTTTGAACGTCTTAATTCATTGAACCATTTCTATTTTTAAACAGTTCAATAGTTTGTTTTGTTTATCCTGTTGATTCAGTGATTTTTCATTCGTTAGCAGTATTTACGCATCTGATTATTTTCTATCCTGGAGGTGGCACGTGATATCCTTCATACTTTTCAGACAGTTTGTAAATACTAAAGCTGACATCCACCCCTCATTCTCTGTCAAATTATTCATTAATATTTTAGTAAGGCCTGATGAGACATTTATGGTATTTTGGACATTGCGCCTACCTTGTATGTAGTACATGTATACAGTATTTTGACTTCCCACTGAAATCACGATACCTTTATGAGATGAAATAATTCTTTCGTTGCCATGCATACGCTTAACAAAATTGGTTTGGTAGCTTTCAGCTTGAAGGCACACATTTCTAGAAGATAAAATAGACAACCATCTCATTCTAAAAATGTATGCTTACAATGGTAAAGAGAATAAGGCTAAATGGATCATAAACCACCACCATAAACCATAAACATGGGGACGCTGATCGCAATGATCACCCTACTTTTTAGAAAAATTTGTTATTGCACAGGGATGATTCGATGTAAACAGGAACTTATAAAAGGCTTCTTGAGTTAACAACAATCATAATTTATGCAGATGAAGAAATAATAAACACCAGGAACACTGCAGTGTGACGTGTCAACGTAAGAGCGCCAAGTGATGCCCAGACCACACACTGTCACCCTGCAGGACACACTACACCAGATATTAGGATCTATGCTCACTTTACCATTCTCCATTCTTCTAATATTTGATATTTTGAACAAACACATTCAGACAAATTAACTGTAAACCAATCTGCTTTGTTCAGAGTTCACATATTAAAAATACTACAAATACGAATTAACATCAACAAGTGGCAGAGTTGGGCTCTGTAGTCTTGATTAAAACCTGTGCGATTAGAAAATTATGAGGTCAAAATTTCCCTTTTACATGGATCAACATGAGCTACCATGAAATAAAATTCAACCACAGATGTATTTACGATGAAAATCAAATAAAAAAATAGTTATTCTCAAACATTTGTTTAAAATACATGTAGACACTGGCTAAAGAAACTTCTAATTAGGGATGTAAGAAAATATTGATATGGCAATAAGTCGTGATATTTTTTCCTGTAGTATTATATTGATATTCAAAACCCGTGAATGGAATTTTTGGGAGGAATTTACATGCAAACATTTGTGTATTTTCTTTTCTTTTGGTGCAAATCAAACATCGACCGCTAGTTGGCAGCCGTGTGCAATGGGCTTTGTTGCCACCAATCAAATGTAAATCCCTCTATTATGGTTCAGACATCTCATGTTTAACATGCTACATATCAGTTTGGACTGTTTATTGAATTTTCCTATGATAAATTCATTCTAAAAAAATCGCTACTATCGTCTGAATGTATCGCAATATATCATCATACATCGTATTGCCAGAATTTTACCAATACACATCCCCACTTCTAACCAGTAAACATGGGCAGACAGCACTGAATTTAAAGCAGGAAAAGCCTGGATGTCCAAGCAGGAGCTTAACTGAAAACAACAGAGGTGTATTTTTGTGTCTGCATTCTCATGTTTCCACCTTTACTGATGCTGTCCTTTTAAAACACCACCACACCACATGAGTTAGACAGAAGTGCTTTGTTTTTGGATAGGTTTAAATCAAAGGTTCAAATAAAAGCTGTACAGTATACTGTGTGTGTGTGTGTGTGTGTGTGTGTGTGTGTGTGTGTGTGTGTGTGTGTGAGTTTGAAATGAACATGTTGTGTATGAATCTACGTTTGGTTTGTTTTAGGCCCTTACAGTCCTATTTTTTCTCATCTCTTCTAGGTTCCAGGTGATTTAAGTCAGACGTCTGAAGATCCCAGCCTGTCAGATTTTGAGACGTATGTCATTGTTCTACATTGTCCTATTTTAAATTTATTTTCCAGACCCTCATACCATTAATGTAAAAAGGTCTCATGTTCATAAATTCTTTCTTAGGTTTACTCTTTATGAGCATATGATCAAATGAGTCGCAGTTGAACAGGAGAGAGCTGTTAGAGTGCTGCAGGCTGCTCGGATGCACTGTTGATGCTGCTTCTGCCGAAGATAATGATAATGACGACGTTAGTGAGGACGTTTGTTTTTTGTGTCACTCAGGGCTCATCGTGCACTCATCAACGTGTGGATCCCCTCTGTGTTCCTGCAGGGCAGAGCTGCAAACGCCTACCACGTCTATCAGGTACACTCAGCGAGCAGTGTCCATGTTTACCAGGCTAAAACAGGCCTTGCAACAGGAAGTGTTCTGATCTGAACCTGACTGTGATGTACAGCAGGTTTCATTTGAAACGACAAACACTGACCAGAGGACAAAGTCATTATGAGCTGTAATGTTCTTACGAAAGTAAAAAGAGCTATAAAGATACAGTAAGAGAGGATAAAAGTTCATTAGGGTGAATGGCGAGGGACTAAATGAGAACGCTCTGAGAGTCCTCGTCAAAAGCTCATCACTGGTATTCATTAGCGTTGTTGTGTTCAGAGCTTTTTATCCTCTTAACTCTGCTCAAGTGGTTGAGCAAAACACTTTAGTTTGTCAGTGTTTAGGACCTTACTTCAGACCCATGTATCTCACTCATGTATCCAAGCTTTTTTCACCCAAATCAGGGCATTTGGTGAAAAAAACAGGCTCAAAACTGTCAGATTTTTACTCCAGAGGTCAGATTTCTAGTATGTTCATTTTGTTCCTGCTACCTGTTTTTGTTGTTTTACTGCTTTGAGTTTCTTAAGTCATTTTCAGAGGCAATGAAATCTGCTTGTTTCTTGTCTAACCCCGGTTTCACACTGAAAGCATCGGCGGCGCGGAACGTCACTGCTTCAAACAGAATCTATTATTGGAGTGTTTCAGTCTAGCTGTGACGCGGTAATTTCCAGAAGCGCTGTGCCGCTAAAGATAGGATCAGGTTCTATTTTTGCCACGTGCTGCTTCTAAGATGCGTCAATTTAAGCAGTTAACATAGGGGATTAAAGGAAATCACACACGGTTTCAGTGTAAAATCACTGGTAAATTTCAAAATAAAAGTACTGCAGCGATGCAATTACATATATATGACGTTTACGCATGAACTAATGGCTAATTTACTCACATCATCATTCCAGAAGTGCAACAGTGTGTTTTCATGGCTTTATTCCTGGCAGTGGAGAAGAACAACATCATAAATGACATCAAACAGCAATAACAACGTGATTTCCTTCTTTTTGGTTTAATGATGGATTGCATAAACAAACTGTGACCTGAAGTCTCGAGGGATCTTGTAATCTCGCGAGTCCAGCACAGAGCACAGCGAGGAAGCCGTGCCGCTACCAAGACTCTTCCGATGTGAAAAGGACCGCCTTGAAGTTTGCGAGTAAACCGTTCCGCTGCTGTTTCGCGCCGCTGATGCTTCCAGTGTTCCAGCTACAAAACCCACAAGATATATGAAACCTTTTTATTATTTTTATTAATTACTTTTATCCCTCCATGTATTTCTTTATCATTAGGAACAAATCAGCTGATACAGACCAGAATGCAGAGCAAGTGTTAAATCTCAATAAGAAACTCCTTTTCCAAAAAGTGTGGTAAACTTACCAAATCTGTTATTAAAGTCCCAGTGTGTAGAAACATTTGACTTCTTAGCACTACCCTACATCATGTTGGTGCATACAGAAAACACCACACAGCACATGGTTTGATCACTGACAGGCTGGCTCCCCATGCCTTCAGCCTCTGCAGCAATGCTGGCGACACTCACACATCTATTTTCAAAAACCAACCTCCGGACATGACACTGAACATGTACGTTCAACTTCTTTGGTTGAACATAGCGAGGCCTATCCTGAGTGGAGCCTGTTCTTTTAAACCGTTGTATGGTCTTAGTCACCATTTAGCAGCGTTGGCCATCTTCTTATAGCCAAAGCCATCTTTATGTTGAGCAATAATTCTTCAGAGAATTCTTTGCCATGAGGTGCCATGTTAAACCTCTAGTGACTGACCAGTGTGAGAGCGATAACATCAAATTTAACACAACAGTTCCCCACTGACACCTGAGACCTTGTAACTAGCAAGTCACATGACAGCAGGAAGGGACAAGGGCTAACTGGGCACAATTTGGACATTTTTCCTTTGGTGCATAGCCACTTTTATGAGATAACACCTTGGTATCCCACAAGCAAATGGCATCCTCGATGAGGCTGCAAGGAAAGGAGCCACAGCCAAATGCCTACAATGAGTAAGGAAAGTCCTAAAAGGTCAGCTCAATGGCAAGAACAAGATCTGGGCAATAAACAACTCGGCCCTGCCAATAATCAGATATCCTGCAGAAACAATATGCTGGCTAAAGGAAGAAATACAGACCACAGATGTTATGACACAGAAGCGTCTAACCATGCATGGAGGGTTCCATCCTAAGTCCTTGAGCACCTGGAGACTGTACACTAGCCAAGGACTAGTGAGTGTGAGAGCCACTGTCCAGGATAAGTACAACAAAGATAAGGCCCCAACAGATGACGTGCTCAATAAATGTCTCAGACAATGACAAACTGAGGAGGAAACGCTGGAAATACCATTGTGGGAGGGCAAACCCCTTGTCAAGTCCTGCACTGTTTTGTGCTTCCCCACTTGAGAGGGATAAACATCCACCACAGAGTTTAGAAACTGGATTTCACTCAGAGACCGAAACAATGCTTCACTTTTTGCTTTTATGTTTATTTCAGCATGTCAGCATGTCAGCTCAGGTCAGCATGACAGTTCAGGTCAGCTCAGGTAAAACATCTTCAATCAAGCAGACATATAACCTTAAATTAGATTTACAGGGTTTACATAATTACCTTTAGCATTACTTTTTAAACAGTAGTTTTAAACATCAAATAGTTCCCTTAGAAAAATATAAGCTATTTATCATTATCTTTTATAATTAATCTGCCATTGAAACGAATCACAGAGCCCAAAAATGAACAAACAACTGCAACAAACAACTTGCTGAAACATTTTCAGATAAGAAATTCTTTTACTAACTGGCAAATAACCACAAACAAAGATTATACCAGCCAAATCAACAGAGACTCAATTGTTTGGGCCACGCCTAGGTAAGCAAACAAGCAAACAATCAGGTCAGGTTTCCCGCCCAACCACCTAACCAGCAGCAAAGTCCGTACACAACCAGAAATATATCATATATTTATCTTACCGGCTGCCTCTCTGATTTTGGTGGATGTATTTATTTCTGAAGTCACTGAACGGCTGACTCAGAACACCATGCTCTCTGGTGAAATTACAGCTCAGAGGTGTACCACCTTTATTGTCCCTGTAACGGAAACAAAGTGATGTAACTATCTAAAGTTGTATTTTAATACACTGTTAGTAGTTCACTTTTATAAACAGAAGAATAGGCAGTTTTTATCATCAGGGAGTTTAATTAAACACTCTGTATTGACTTTGAGACAAGAAAAGAGAGAGATGGGATCGTTTGAGAATCTTTAATTTCTGATTTATAAATTCTAAACAATCTACCAGGACTACTCTGTGATGGATGAGAATGGATTCGGATGTTGTGTTGGTGCGTGTGTGTGTGTGTGTGTGTGTCTGGTTCAGATTCTCTAGGATGACGTAATCGAATCTGGTCGTCTTTGTTATGACTAGATATCACGAGGCTTATAAAGTGATGACATGAGCCGCTATTTTGCCGTGTACGTACCCAGTGGGGGTCTCCCAGGTAGATCAGGAAATGCCAGGTCTGGAAACCTCGGATGTACGATGGAGCTGTCGATGCAGCGATCACAACGTTTCAAAGCCCGTCTGGAGGGTCGACCCCGGTACCGTTCAGCGGCGTCAGCAGGTGCTCTTATTTTGAAAGGACGTCGTCTGGTTGTTAAACGACGAAAATCTCCCGTTTCACAGTTCTTAGTTTAAAGAAGAAAACACATCTGGACAGGCTGCGCTTTTCTTTAGGATGATGGTGAATAGAACTGAAGTCAAGATGGAACTGACTTAAAAATGGCATTGCCTTGTTTTATATCTCTGAATTGTTGATAAGTTGGAGTAAAGTGGATTGGACACTTGAAGTCAACACCAGATTCTCCTGCGGCAGCCGAAAGCTCTGATTGGTTGGAACAATGTGTCATGCGTTTCTATGGAGATGAGGATCAGTATGTCTGTGCCGTAGTCCTGGTTTCATTAAACATAATTCATGACATATTTGTTTCACAGATCATTCACTTGATTATTGTTGATCAACATCTGTTTTGCTTAATAATTTTAATCACAAATAAAGTACTTTGATTAAGTAAAGCTTCTTCTTCTCCTTCGGACTCTTCTCCTGGAATGTAAACAGTCTGAGGAACACCCGACCTTGGTTTTTCTACACGGTGTTATTGTGCCCAGGGGGCAGCTGTATGTAGTTGAAAACAATGAACTTCATAACCTTACATATCCCCCCTTTTCAAGGTCAATGTGGTCCTTCAAGAGACCACTTGGTCGTTGAACAAACCCAAGTTATGAAGAATCTTGACAACAGAACAGGATGCGATCCCAAGGGAACAGCCATCTGTGGTGAGGCACGAACCCCACGCCGGAGAACAGTCTCGCATACTCCTCAGGAAGAACACAAGTCAGCAGGTTATTAATTATTCCCCATGGAAGCCATAAACGAAGCAACAGCAACGTCATATCCCCACGGGCAATAAAGCAAAGCAGGAGCAAATCTTGAACGTATCCACGAACAGGGTAGTATTCCAATTAAAAATCGATTGTTGTATCCGCAGGCAGGGCAATATTCCAAATAAAAATTGAACTTTGAAAGAGTACTTATCGTAATCCACAAAAAGGGAAGAGCAGGTGACAGTAATCCCAACGAATGAGGTGTCCCAGCAGCCATGCCGGAACCACAGTCGTCCAAGGCCAACGAGCCGGAGCACCCTCAGGAGTAGTCGATGCAGATCACGAGTCACGGATCCACCCCCAGGACGCAGGATCCTCACACGCTCAACAGAGGAGAGAGAGCACAGTGTAGGCACTTCAATGTAGACACGACAAAAGTGCATTTCATGTCATCAAAGAAATAAAAATAATAAAAACCTAACTCTATGAGTGCCTTTTGTACTATGTGTTAGTTTTAAGTGTAATTACCCATTAAGTGAAGAAATGGATGCAGCCCTGACTGTGTAAGATGCAAAAAGGAATGATGCGAGAAGCAGAAAAATGAAAGAAAC